GGGTCCATAGATGTTATGATAAAGGGGAAGATGTGTCCTGGGATGGTCGACACCGGGGCAGAAATGAACATTATAAACGGAGAAATGACAGTAAAACTAGGACTGGAGGTAGATGAAAACGACTGCGGGTTTCTCAATGGAGCCAGCGGCAAGACCGGGTACGCGGGGGTTGCGTCGAATGTGGTGATAGAGATAGGAAGAATCAAGATACGTACGTGTTTTTACGTCATGCCCATCTTGGATCTCTCAATATTATTAGGCAGGTCATTCATGTGCAGATCCGAGTTACTCATTATGAACAAGCACGGCGACACCATGTTCGTCATCTTGTGCGATCCTGCCTGTGGAAACTTTGAAGTTATCACCTGTAGGAATACCGACCCACATAGCTCGAAGAACAGGCTCAATGCCGAATCCTACACATTCGAGGAATAAGAGAATAGGAGGAGAGAACTGAAATGGGGAAAAGGAGAAGAGGAGTCAGATGATGAACAAGCCAAAGGGCTTGTATTAAGTCTAACAAATATCAGTGACGCAGTGAAACTAGTATCGTCTTATAGGATGGCTGATCCGGACGCAGTCAGGGCACTCGCAGAAAGGATCCAAGACGATCCAGAAGGGGGAAGGGTCGATCTCGTTTACCGACCGCCTCCTTCTTCTCAGATAATAGTGCCGCATGCGCCAAATGCTCAAGATGCCGGTCAACATTTTTTAGGGGTGGGCTTAAACAGGGCTCCAAAAGGAGGTACACAACGGTAGATAAGAAGAGTCATCCTGTGTCAGTTCTAGTGAGTCGGGAAGAAGGGGTGTATTATGATCAGGAAAGAGAACTGATACAGCGAATGAGGACAGACATCCAGAATGAGCCTTGTCGTATCTACGATGAGACTGAAAAATAACTGATAATAGGGGAACCTGGGTTTCTGACAAGGCAAAAGGAGGACTTGGTGAAAGAACTGATACGTGAAAAACATGGGGCATATGCCTTCAACGGTGATCAACGTGGGAGGATGGATATGGACAAGATCGAAATGATCCGCATTTATATGGTGCCTCATGAACCATGGAATGTCCGAGGAGCTAAGTACCCCAACCCATAAGATTGCAGAAGGGTGGTAGAATACCTAGATGAAAAAATCCGTACGGATGTTGCAGGGTATTCCAGTGAACCGTACGCGTCTCCATGGTTCTGCTTTGTAAAGTCAAATGAAGTTATGAGATGGGTGCAAAACCTCCAACGATTGAACGCGGTATCTGTACGGGATGCGGGAGGTTTGCCCAACGGTGACCAGTTGTCAGAAGCTTGTGCAGGAAGGTCGATTGTGTCCCTCATCGACCTCTACTCCGGATATGATCAGTTTCCAGTCTATCCGGCAGACCGTCTCATCACGGCGATGCACACGCCAAGGGGATTAGTCCATATGAATGTTGCGCCACAAGGATGGACCAATGCTGTGGCCATGGTACAACGGAGCATAATCTGGGTTATGCCGCCAATCAGTCTTCAGATCACTGAGCCGTACATAGATGATCTTGCAGTTAACGGCCCGATTGAGAAGGATGAGTCCGAAGTGGCTTCAGGGGTGAGAAGGTTTGTATGGGAACATGTTGAAGGGTTAAGAGAAGTCTTATCTCTACTAGAAGAGTACAACCTCACCACCAGTGGTGTGAAGTCGAGACATTGCGTAAAGGAGGTAACCATTCTAGGATACATTTGCAACGAGCATGGTCGGTGCCCTGATAAGAAGAAGACCAATAAAATCCTGGAATGACCCACTCCTTTCAGAAATGTGGGTGAAGTGCGAAGTTTCCTTGGTACCTGTGGGTTCTGGAGGAGATTCATAGAAAGATTTGCTAGCAAAACAGAGCATCTAAGGAAGCTAGTCCGGAAGGATCCGGAATGGGAGTGGGGAAACCATCAAGAAGAAGTGGTGGAAGAATTGAAGAAGGAATTTAGAGAAGGAGGACTGGTGCTAGGGGTACCAGACTTTGATGCGACTATGGAGAGACCCTTCATAGTTGAAACTGACGCATGGGCCAACCGCCATGGGAGGCGTCTTGATTCAGGCAGACAGTGAAGGAAAGGAGAGGCCGCTGAGGTTTAAAAGCAGGACACTCAACTCGACAGAAAGGAACTACTCGCAGTTTAAAAAGGAAGCCTTGACGGTCTTGCATTGCCTAAGAATCTTTAGGCATTACCTCTTTGGGAGGAGGTTTGTACTCATGATCGATCCAACGACGCTTATGTACTCGCTCAAGAACTTCTCGCCCTCAGATCGGACCATAGCCAGATGGCTCACCTATATCTGGATGTTCGACTTCCAGTTAGAACGGATCCCTGGGAACAAGAACAGGGCGGACGGCATGAGCAGAATTGAGTGGGGAAATGAGGGAGAATCTAACGAAGAAACACCTCCGGTAGACGGATTTTTGGAAGAAGGGGAAGAAACATGCGAACTCATGTGAACTGTTGGTTCATGTTTGTCGAGAGTAAGGAAATGAGGAGAGGAAATCCGATGTGGCATCCGTCTCCCGAATTTATGAGAGAACCCTCCCTGATACTCACACCATTAGAGGAAGAGGACTCTTGGGGCGAGAGAAATACGGAGTGGGTGATGGAGTTGGCTCTGGCAGAGAACTATAGGATAATGGATGAGCCGCGAACGATCGAAGCAGGAGTCCAATAGACAGACGAGCAGGTAGCCATGATGGAAAGAATGTATTACCTGACAAATTCGGTGTTATAGGTCCAAGCAAATGATGAGATAGGAATGGTTAAGGTTGATGAGGTAGTTATTAGGGATGATTATGAATTTGATGAAGAGAAGGAAGAAGAATTCGAACAAGAGGAGATATCTGAGGAATTCAGGGAAGAGGAGTACGACGGGTTCTACTTAGAAATGGGGTTGCTCCTCTCAGGAGATAAAAGAGAGATAGAAGTGAGTGAAAAGACTCTCAGGATGAGAGACCACTATGTGGTAAGAGGTGGCCACTTGTTCATTAGGGACAAGAGAGGGCCGCCGCGACGTGTTGTATGTGGGAGAAATCGTCAGATTGACGTAATAGCTGCGTTGCATGATGGGATAGTCAGAGGACATCGGAGTTTCGGGGCTACTTACAAAAAGGCAATGAAACTCTACTACTGGAATGAATGTTTGAGATGACACGAAAGTACTGTGAGTCGTGTGTACCCTGTCAAATTCGATCGCCTATCAGGTACAAAGAACCTCTGCATCCTAGATATATCAAGGAAGTAGGGGCGGTTGTTCACCTGGATCTACTGACTATGCCACTAGGTCTTGGAGGATATAATTATATATTTGACACAAGGGACAACCTTACTGGATTCGTTGATGGCAGAGCGATCAGGAACAAGACCGGGATAACGCTGACAGATTGTATTAAAGAATATTATCTCAGATATCTGTTCGTATTGGAATTCACGATGGACAGGGGTCTAAGTTCACATGTGGGGAAGTGAAGGAGGTGCTAAAGGAATTGTGTGTCATAGGTAACTATACGACTCGGGCTCATCCACAAGCGAATGCACCGGTCGAGAGAGGTCATAGTACGATTACTAACTTACTGGCCAAATGGACCAGTGGGAAGCCGAACCTCTGGCCAAAGTTCATAAGAACAGTGTTCTTTGTAGAGAACATCACTATAAAAAGGACGACCGGGTATGCGCCTGCGACACTCTGGTATGGGCGTCACGCCACATTTCCAATTGAAAACTTCCTGAAAACTTGGCGCAGACAGGATCTGGAAAACAACTTGACTTTGGAGGAACTGCTAGATCTAAGGGCAAGGCAAATCAGCGGTACTGAAGAAAGAGTGCAGTAAGAAGCCATGAACGTTGCAAACAACAGGGGAAAGGATAAGGAAAGGTGGGACAAGCTACCTAGAGTGAGACTCGAACCTCTACAAGTTGGCGAGACAGTACTACTCTACGATTCCTCTCTGGAAATGCAGTGGTCGCGGAAATTGGACAAACGGTAGCTAGGACCATTCAAAGTCAGGAAGCAGGGACTTCATGGGGCATATGAGCTAGAAGAGATGGATGGGACTTCAAGGAAAGACTGAGTCTCAGGATCTAGACTGAAGAAGTTCCGAGTCAGAGAAGAGGTAAACTCAGTTACGATAAGGAAAGTTTGGATAG